TTTATTTTATTTCTTCTTCTTCTTCTTCTTTTTCTTCTCTCTCTCTCTCTCTCTCTCTCTCTCTCTCTCTCTCTCTCTCTCTTCCTCCTCCTCGCTCCTGATCCCACACGATCGAAGAGATACACACGGTACACACCACGAATAACGTACTAGCAGCTTTTGTTGCTCGTTGACGGACGATACGTTTCGACGACGGTGGTGACAAGTGTTATTGAACTTCGGAAAGCAGGGGAGGGGGAGGGGGGGGGAAGATACGGCGTCCACGACGTACGGGCAGATCGACCGCGAGCGTTAATTGTTGCAATAACGCCCCGGCCGAATCGAAGGATTCTGGGCGAGGCTTTTTGCCGGATTTCGAGGCGAGCGGAGGAAAGGAAAGGAAAGGAAAAATGGACTCGATGATTGAACATCGCCTTTTTTAAACAGTTAGTTATTGGGATCGAACGATGGAACGGATAAACGCGGCGAACGCGTTATCGGGAATCAATTCTCCTCGAAGCGAGCTCGTCCTCCCCTTTCTGTACTCCTCGAAATCTTGGGAAAAACCGAAATCCCGGAAATTGGAAAATATATATATATATATATCCAGTAGAAATTTATTTAACGAAGAAATGTTTCGCCAAACGTTGTATTTTATAAACGTCTAATCGACCACTATTTAAACGTCGAATCGGTGCAACGATTTCCGCCACTGCGATTAATTCGAATCGTACGAGCAACCTTCCTTTCTCTGTTTCTCTGTGTGTGTGCGCGCGCGCGCGCGCGTCTGTATACACGTATCTGGAAACGTTGCTTTTTTCCCCAGGCGCAAATGAAAGGAACGAGTTCGCCGCTGTTCATCACGCTCGATTGTTATATATATGTCTTCTGATACGGTTGCTTGGCGGCCGGTGCACGCCAACCTATCACTGAATCACCTGTTCGAGAGGATCGATCCGATTTTGCGTCGCAAATGTTTGACCGGGTCGAAAAATCGAAAATCAAACACGCGTGATTCTTCGATAATAACAACGGCGTTATAATCTGTTCGTGAAAAACTGGGCAAAGAACTGGTTAGGAGAAAAGAAAAGAGGTTCGAGCAAAGAATCGTTACGACTCTCGGTCGGGGAAAGAAAAAAACGAACGAACGATCGTTGCTCTGTAACCACTATAATCGCGGTTTCCTAGATTTAATGGGCCATTCGTCGGTGAACATTATATTATACCAAGAACGTAATCGTCCACACCTCTCACTTCCTTGGTCACCTTTCCATAAAACGATCGTTCCTTCAAAAAACGTTACGAAACGTCAATTTAATTCCTTCCCTTGAAAACCCATCAAATATTCACCCCGCCAAAACCACGCGCCCTCTCCTTCCCCCCTCCCCATTCTCGCGCAGATTTATCTCGTAAACAGAATCGCTATATTTTCTCGGGTCTTCTTGCTCGAAGACGAAACGAAAAAGAAAAAGAAAAAAAAACGCACAAATAAAAAGAAAAAAGAAGAAGAAGAAGAAGAAGAAAGAATTGTCGCGAAACGCGCGATCATTTCGAATCGAGCTACCGAAGTTCGAACGAGAAGAGAAGAGATTCGCGAGGAGAGAAACGATCCAAACGATCCTACGATTCATTTTTTCCCCCTCGCTCCTTTTCCATCTTTTTTTCACTTCCTTATCGCGCGACGTCAGGATTGATCGCCTGCATCTACATAACATTATCGTTTATTTATTCCGCCGGCTGTTACTGAAACGGTCTCCCGTATCATTAATTACGTTAATGAGTTTGCACGAATATACACTCGAATACGTGTGCACGTATGTCGCGTATGTGTATTTATATACACGTATAAATATACACACGCATATGTGTATACATACATATATATATATTTATACCGGCGTTTCGTAATCAATAAACGTGTCGCGCGATTCGCATCGAGAAGACGAAGGAAAAGATGGAACTCGGTCGCGAGAGAACGGTCGAAAAAAAAAAAAAGTTCCCTTTTTCGCTCGTTCGTTCGTTCGTTCGTTCGTGGATTTTGTCGAATTACGAACACTTTCGACGAATCGTGACGTAATGTGCTTCTTTTTCCTTTTTCATTTTTTTTTTTTTTTGAAACGCGATTAAACGCGTTCCTCGAACGAGCAAATGA